CAAATCTAGTTGGCGATGACATGTCTTCCCGGTGGAAGCCACATCACTTATTGACGGCGTTTGTGACGACATTAACGGTAGTAATAAAAATGGGTATGGTTGACAATAAAGTTTTACAAACTTTTAATATTTGGCTATATGAGTGCATTTTTTAAAATTTGGCTATATTTGTCACAACTCAGAACGCGAATACTTATGAAAATGTATTTTGCCTTAAATTAATAAGGTGCGTAGTTTAAGGGACTAGTTAGAATTCCATTATGAATTACTTTATCACGCATGTTACTTGAGTTAGTTGATATGCCTTTCTATGATATTTATGTTTGAATTATGAGTTTGAGAGTCATGTTCAAGTTTATGAATTATGTTCATTCCGGAAGCATAGCACGACATCGCATCACAAATTTACAATTTAGTTAAGCCTTCAAAGGGCTTTCCTCACCGTCCGGAGTACCATTTGAGGGTGTGTTTGGGATCGGGTTGCTTTTGTCTCGACCATCATTTACTATTTTACATCCCCAAACACCTCTCCTTCTCACAAACTTGTATGATAAGGAGAAAGTGTGCCTTTAAGCAAGTCATTGAGACCTCCAGCTCTCGTTTGTACCCACATGTGTGGCAACTCATTTGTCGTTCAGACGTGGAGTGCAGGTTGGGAAGTGGTGCTTGTGCAAATGAATCCAACCATCATGTTCCGTGCATGAGGCTTTGAAAGAGAAGGCACTGTACTTTTGCTCTTAGCCCGAAGGAGAGATCGATATGATCCCAAATAGGCCATTATGCAAGTTTCAATTGCTGGATAAAGAAGCAACTCAAGCTAGCAAGAAAGGAACTAAAAATTGGTTGTGTGTTTATTTTGTTTCAGGGTACCTACTTTACAAGGTTGGTTCTCTCAATGGGATCAACCAAAATGAAAGAAGAAAGATTGAGACCTCCCGCTCTCATTTGTACCCACATGTGTGGCAACTCATTTGTCGTTCAGACGTGGAGTGCAGGTTGGGAAGTGGTGCTTGTGCAAATGAATCCAACCATCATGTTCCGTGCATGAGGCTTTGAAAGAGAAGGCATTGTACTTATGCTCTTAGCCCGAAGGAGAGATCGATATGATCCCAAATAGGCCATTATGCAAGTTTGAATTGCTGGATAAAGAAGCAACTCAAGCTAGCAAGAAAGGAACTAAAAATTGGTTGTGTGTTTATTCTGTTTCAGGGTACCTACTTTGCAAGGTTGGTTCTCTCAATGGGATCAACCAAAATGAAAAAAGAAAGATTGGAGGTGAGTTCAGATGTTTCTCTACATGCTGGAAGGCTTGGTTGCTCAGAAGCAAGTCATTACACTCATTTTACAAAGCCCTCAAGTTGTTATGTCAAAATCGAAAATCTGCCTAATTTTGGCTAAGTATGGGAACCAGTTCGGATACCCAACTTTGCAAGCTTATTCGAGATAAAGGGTTGAGAGTCGAGGCAAGAGGGTTGTGTCATATGAACGTCCACATTTTCTTCTACAACCTCAAGGCATTGGATGAGCTAAACCATACTTCTAAGGCTTCGAACGAACAAGGGCAAGATCGTATGAAGCCTCGGTATTCTGCCTTGTCAATCAAGAAAATTGTTTCCTTGTTTCGCTAGGATTACTTTCCTTTTCTATTTTTGAGCTTGATTCTGAGTTATATTGTGTTTAGAACTTCTCTGATTGGTTGTTAACCCAGATAGCTTTATTTATAGTCGTTCTTCTGTATCGTAACACTTAGTTTTTTTACCAATTGAATACAAACCCGAGTTTGGTTCATCAAGCATCTTGCTTGGTGAATTTGATTGAGCAAGTTAGTGGATTCTAGGTTGTTTGTGAGCTTGTATCGATGAATTTACACACATTGATCGTGGCCAGGCATCAACTTATACTTATCGAGCCTCTTTCCCCTTGTGAAAGTTTCACGGAAGTTCCCATCCCAAACACCTAAAGCTGCCCTGTTTTTGGTGTTCATAAGCGAGAAGATTCAATCTCCTGGATTGATCTTTAAGATGCGTGATTCTGAAACAAATCCAACTTTTTAGGGTTGCATCATAGATGCCTAAAATTTCAAAAATGTGGTGCCATGTATGGCAAAGTTTAAGTTGAGCCTCGAAAAATCGAGTCCTCTTTTGACAAAGTAGAAGCACCACCATGGAGTCCTTTGATTTTCACATTTTTTTTATGAATTCCCCAGTGCACACGTGAAAGTGTCTAAACCTCCTCAGTTAACAAGGTTCTCATCCGAGAGTGTGTGTTGACACGAAGAAATGGAGGTAAAGTTTACCCGATTTTGATTGTTTTTTAGGTACCACCGATGATTGATAGTGCGTACCATTGTTATTGTCCTACAAGTTGTACTGTTTTGAGCAGGTTTGCTTGGGGACAAGAAAAAAGTTCAAGTTGGTGGAGTTTGATTCAGAATAGATTGTACACTTTTATACCTTTTGACTTGTGTCGTTTGACTTGGTTTGCATCGTCCTTGGAGCTATTTTATGCTAAGTTTGGTCTTGTTTTGACATGTTTCAGACCTTAGCAGCTAGAATGGGCACCGGGATGGAAAGTCAGACAAAAGGGAGAAAAATATACAAAACTTTAAGAATCACATTTTGGAGGATATTGTCACAGGAAGTAACCTTGAAGTTGACGAGGAAACCGTGAAGATTGCACACTTCTAGGAGATTTTGTACAATTCACGGAAATTTCAAGGACCACGATTCCAGACTGTGAAGTCAGCAGGCGACTCGTGGAGTATGTCAATGAAACGTTGAGATCACAATTTCATTGAATACTTCACGGGCGTGAAATGTGCACTCGCAGGCTATATTAAGAAGAGTGAGCAGAATTTGAGGGGGGATTTCTAGAGAGACTTGAGAGTTGTTCTTCAAAGCTAGAGAGAGCTACGAGCAAGGAGGAGTTGAAGGCGAATTTGACCTACCCAAGGCAATTGGAGGGCATATTGCATCTCCAATCATCCACCCAAGCAACTAGGAGGAGGAAGAATCAGTTTCCCATGGGGGTTTCTTCTATTCTAGTAGTTGTTTCGCTTCTACCTATGGAGTAGTTACTCTATTCACTTGGATCTTAGAAACCCTAGTTTAGGATGTTGTACATTGTAGTTTGTGAACTCATTGTGTTGATGGGTATTGTTATTTATATATTGATTGAGGTATTTTTATGCAATTAAAGTGTTCTTGATCAAATCCCTCAAGTTTGGGGTAAATTGACCTAGGAGGAAGAAAATCTCCCTCGTGCAATTCGGGTCACTCCTCAATTATCGTAGAGTGCCGTGAATCATTATGATTAGTGACTCTACGTCATTCCGGGTTAATTTCCGAAGGAGTTGTATCAATTGCCTTAGTCATCTTTTGCGGTTTTGTATGGTTCTAAACAGCGCGCCTAGGCACTCGCCAAGCTCGTCTAGGCGCAAGTCACAAGGAAAACGCCTCACAAAGTAGCATAGTAGGCACCATGATCACGTTGTTGCCTCAGTGGCGCCTAGTAAGCATTGAGTTGCGTCTCAAAATGATGTCACAATGTATTTATCTACCTTTTGATATGCTACTAGAAAGGAAGGTTTTGATTTCTATATGGTTAAGCTATAATATAGTTAGAGACAACCATCTTTAGAGTAGTTTCGTTCTTTTTTTGCATTTCTTCACTCTCAATCTGCTTCGTTATTTCCAACTTCTTCTTCCTTTATGTTTTACCATGCTATGTTGATGAAAGTTTAGAAATGAGAGTTAGATGCAACGATATTGGTTCATAAACTTGTGATTCTAGGCAAGTGTGAGATATTTTATTGCATTTACATCTAACGCTTAGTCACACCTAAGCATGCTAGGCGCAAGGCAGAGCCTCAACGCTCGCCTTACGCCTAGCGCTTTCTTAAACCTTTGGTACGCCCCTTCAATTAGATTGATTAAGTGGGCTAGGATGCACTCGAATAGGGGATCCTAGCTAATTTAGATATCGTAACGGTATATGAATACTTACCTATCGCACTAGAGTATCATATATGCATCTCAACACAAGAGTAGGGGGAATAAAAGTCTGAGTGAGCTTTTCTGGATTTAATTCAACATCGTTTTAATTTCTTGCTTGGTTAGTTAATTAGCTTTAACAACAATTCGATTGCTAGATAACTAGTAGAAGGCTGAAGTAAGAGTATATAGATCGCTCGGGTTTATATTTGATATACTTACTCTATGCTACACCCGATTATAGGTTACACTTGGCCTATGATTGGAATTGAGTTATAGTGATAGCAGAGTTAGTATTGTTGACAAACCGAACTATAAATTATAAAGTTTGATTCCAATGCATCAACTTACCCCTTACGATCAGGGGGTATCAGATGGGATGTAAAGGGTGTGTCATGTCAGAGGAGGTGTCCGCACTAACCCCTTAGGGTGGCGTCCATCACTTAGATCCAATTTTGACAAATTTAATTATATTGTTAAATTAACCTTATAATCCATGATCACTCCTTGAACTTAATCAACGTTTATTTAGTTAAGAACTTGAAACCTGAAACGAAAAGTGCCACCTATATCCAATACTGATGATTCAGTCTAATGAGGTTACTTTCGGTGTGGGATTTTGGTATTTTTGGGTTGGGTGTCTTTTCCTTTTCGTTGTAGGTTTCTTTTAAGATTGGGTTGAGGTAGGTGAATAGGAGAAGGAGTTCGGGTAGGTTTAGGCCGCGTATTAGGCTTTTCTACTCTATATATATGTAAGTTCGACATTAGTTCCAGTTGATATAAAGTAAAGATTTATCGACACCAAAATCGTTCTCTCACTTGTGATCTACAAGCAAACCCTTAAATCGTGGGCAACGATTCATCAATTGGTATCAGAGTCTGGTTACACCTCCTACAAGGGTGGGTGGATAAGCTACGGAGCGATGCACCGCGTTGGAGGCGACTGTCGAGGAGTTGCAAACTGTGCTTTAGGGCAATACGGAGGTGGTAGAGGCGTTGGCAGTGCGGATGATGAATGCAGAAGGACTTCTGCAGAAGATGATGGCCAAACTAGACTTGGTCATGCCGCAACAGGAAGGCAAGGGCACGATGCCCAAGCCTAACGGAGAGGAGAGCGCCGATGAGAAGGATGGGGAGAAGAGTACGACCGGACCCAAGGGCGACGACAGCGCGGGCCGCGACACGTCGGTGGTTCGTGGTAGCTGCGACCAGGACCGTCCCATGATATTTGGAGGCCCTGTTCGAAAATTTAAAATGTGGCCCTAATTTTTTCCCCATAAATTTTATCAAAATTAAAAATTAGTAAATAATTATAAAAAAATACTTAAGTTCAGAAAAAGATTACATCAGAAATAAACGATCTCGTTTCCAGTTTGACCAAGAAAACAAGACCGAATTCCCATCCTTAGTAGGGAGGAAAGTAAATCTGGAAGGAAGAGAAAATGGATATAGCGCAAAAATTGAATGGAGAAATGAAAATAGTCTAAATTGATCGAGAGGTGGGTGCAGGGTTGTCTACTAGATCGTGGAGGCCCTATTTCAAAATCTAGACGTGGTCCAAATCGACTTTTAACTATAATAAAACTAAAATGATTATAATAACATTATTCAAAATGTAATATCTTTCTATATTGTTTAAATTAAAATTATCTATTATTTTTCAGAATTTCGTATTCTCCGTGAGATCCTTTTCAATTGTTATTATAGCTAAAATTATCTATTAAACACATCATCATACTCATAATCAATCAATCATACACTAAAAATACAACCTACAATATACGATTGGTAACTAACGAATCTAATTAGAGGTCCCTAATATTCTGAGGCCCTGTGCCACAGGGCGGGCCAGCACACCCTCTTGGCCGGCCCTGGCTGCGACGGTAAGCCCTCCGGCAATGGGGAGTTCGTAGCGGCGGCAGTGGGACTTTCCTCGCCAAGCTCGCTAGGCTGGAATTTCCAAAATCGGCAGGGGAAGATCCGAGCGCGTGGTTTCCCTACGTTGAGCAATTTTTCGAGTTTCAAAGGTACCGGTGGACCAGAGGGTGTCATTAGCCTCGTTTCATCTGGAGGGAGAGGCGAACTAGCAATGACAGTGGCTGAAGAGTACCTACAAGGACATGTGCGAGTCGATTTCGTGGGAGTGGTTCTCCCAGGAGCACTGGGCGCGGTTCGTCCAAACCAAAGGGGAGAGCTGCGACGAAGCCCTATCACAAATTCGTCAGACCAGATCTCTGTGCAATTACCAGAGGGATTTTGAGAAGCTGGCTAATCACTGTGTCGGCTAGACACAGCGTGCATTAGTGGTACGTACTTGGGCAGCTTGAAGTCGGAGATTGCTGATGAGATCAGAATGTTTCGACCACAGTCTCTGTGAGACGCCATCAGCTTGGCGAGGATGAAGAACGACCAACTGCAATGTCACAAGCTTGCTAGTCGATCGGCCCCACCAACAAGTGCAGGGGCGACGGGGAAGGGAAGTGGAGCTTACGCGTCGAGAACTACAAGCTCGGCTCTGCAGGGAGGAACCGGACCACCACGCGGGCGGCTTGGGTGTCTTTTCCTTTTCGTTGTGGATTTCCTTTGAGATTGGGTGGGGGTAGTTGGATAGGAGAAGTTCGGGTAGGTATAGGCCGCGTATTAGACTTTTCTAGCCTATATATATATATAAAAGTTCGGCTTTAGTTTCGGTTAGCGAGTAATAAAATAAGAATTTATCGACACCAACGTCGTTCTCTCGCTTGTAACCTCTAAGAAAACCCTTGAATCTTGGGCACCGATTCATCAGTCCCCTCCAGAGATCCGAACATTTTGTCTGGAAGTAGTGTAAATCGTGTGGTTACTGATAGTATACTTCCAACGGCAACCACAAGGCGTAAAATATCCTGGCGACCACAGACAGTGGAAACAAATAGAAATAGTGAAATCCAATTTCGATGACGTGCACGAAAACCCCAAACTATAAAATTTGATGCAACGCCCACAACGCATGACTTGTGGCCAAAATCGTATCAAATTTCAGATGCGGTTAGTACGAAACGACAAACCTGACTAAACAATATTATACATCCCCATCCGCCATACTTGACCTGTTCATCATACTCTTCGGCTGCATGTCCAAGAAAACACCCGACGTATTGAAAAAGAAAGCCAATCAATAAGAATGAAGCATAATAAATTATACTTTGACCAAGCCATATCCCAAATTAAAACCAAAATACATTTACAAGGGGGGGTTTGTTGCAGTCACACTGACCAAAATTCAATCACAAGCACCAAAGGATTCTTCTCCTCCCCTATACAGAATTAAGAATAGCATCTCCAATGGTGATCACCAAAAACGATACTCTTAAATAATAGACACAGTCCCACGAATCTAAGCGTGTCTTTCATCCCTTCTTTCTGCATTCCTTCTCTTATATTACAACAGAGCTATCTAGAGCACCCAATTAAAAGGGTTTCTGCACCCTTCTCCTAGGGCCTTCCTGCCCTTCTTGTTCTTCTTCAAAATCCAACTCTCTCTACTTTACAAAACATATATCATCAGCCCAAGATGAAAGATGATCACCTGGTGAAAGAACAAAAACACAGACATCATATATATACACAAGGAACCATTACTAATCTTCCCCCTTCCAGCACTTCGACTCTTCTTCTCCCAAAAAGGTACAAACTCTTTCCCTCTTCTTGTTAATTATAAGTCTTCTTAGGTTTCCTTCGAGACTGATGGGCATTTTTTTGTAGATCCCTCTCCCTCTCTCTATGTACACTTGGCGATTTTTTTTTTCTCCTGTTTATGTGACTTCTAGGCCATAGCAGGGATGCTTGAATTCTGGCGATCCCTGTTGAGGCAATCAAAACCTTCTACTCTAACTGCAGCTGGCTTAAACCCAAAGTTCATTCTCACACAACCTCCTCCTTTGCGTGCTGATGCCGCTGATGGAGACAGCATTGATGAAGGAGAAGGTTGGTTTTGGAAAACCTTATCATCCCTAAATTGAGCATCCCGAATCAAAGGATTCGCAGCCCTTGCCGGAGGAGACCCACAAAAATATGGAGGTGATGAAGCCACCTGAGCGGCGGATTTCTCAGCTCCATAATCCTCCTGTTCCGAACAAAACAAACCCATATCGGTCAATGTGACAAAAACTAAATCCAGAGAAGATAAGTGCACTCAAATTTCAGTACAAGACCAGGAGAGAACAAACAAAAGCAAATCAAGTCATTCATAAGGAAAATTCCAAAATGAAAAACAGGTTCACCAAAAAGAAACACCAAGCAAATCAACAATGTGTCAAAGGTCAATGCAAGGTGGTAATGAGTACAGGAAAGAAATTACCTTCTTAAGGATAATGTCCAAAAGCTCTGACCCGGCACTTATATCGCTCCCATCCGCCTGATGACTGACATTAACATAACGCCAAGACAAAAATGTGAGATTTCACAGTTCAGAAAGCAAAGAGCAGCCTCAATAGCAAATCAAGAAAAAGTGGCCATTACCTCAGTTGCCACCTTAAAGGGCGGACAGGATTGTTAGCCAGGATTCCAACTCGGCGAGGCTTGGGGCAGACAACAGGACCCCTGAGATCAGACATCGATACCATACCCCTTGCTTCATCACAAGAGGCAACGACGTTCTGCTGAAGATAAAATTGACTCATCTTCGAAATTTGTTGAGTAAATCAACAGTAGACCGCCTGCCAAATTTTGCATAAGGAAAAAAGGTAAGGAACCAATTGTGACAACATAGAGCAAAAACCACACATCAAAAGGCTCCCTTACCAGGAAATCAACAAGTTATTAGTAGATCAAATGAGCTCAAACCAATTCGTTTGAAGGAACAAGCCCACATCAATAGAAGGATTCAGCAGATCCCATAAAAATTAACAACTTGGAAAGAAAAGGACAGAACGAAAAGGAAATTCATCATGCTCTTTGACCAAACCAACTGAAAAAGAAACCTTGGATCCAGGCAACAAACTACAGAAAGAATGAAACTTTTCTATATCAGAACCATAAATCCTCTCCAAATCATATCCTAATTCAGAAATCAGCTTACTAAAAAACGATGAGCAAGAAATGAAACTCTTGCTCTAGATCCACAAAATTAAATAAGATAGAACTGACGGGAAAGACACATATATATGCAGTAATGGATAAGAATTAAGACGAGGGGGGGAAAACTGACAGCCAAATTCAATGCGCAGAAAAGAAAACGAACGAACAAACAAACAGAATAAAAAAAACAGCTCGATGGATCTGATCCAGAGCTAGAGACCGAGAAAATGGAAGATTCACCGCCGACTGAAGAAACAGGAAGTAAATCCAGATCTGAGCCGCCGTAGTAAAGAAGAGAGCAGGAAAGCAAAGCCACGGCGGAGGAGAAAGTACCTGTTGGAATCCTCCGGGGAGAAGAGAAGACCTTATGGGAAGAAGGACGCCACCGCGACGAGCAGAGGAAGGTGGTGGAGAGAGAAGAGGGACGAGGCGCGGCGGAGGGATTGGATTTATAGGAATGGAAGTGGCTGATGAGGAAGAAAGAAACCTATGGTGGTTGTGGACTTGGTAATAAAGAGTGGTGGTCACCACACAAACGCCTCCTCCTTTCTTTCCTTGCTCTCGGTTTTAATTACAAAAAAAGGTAGGCGAATAAAATATTTTCATTATTTTTTTGTAATGTCTATTTTTTATTTAATTTTTTTGGATTTTTTTATTAACCAAATCTATTGAAATACTAAGAATTAACCAAATGTTAACTTTCACTTAGCAATTTTATTAGTAATATTGACTTGGCAACATGATACTGACTTGGAAGAGACACATGAAGGTCAATATTCCAAAATTTTAGTATTTAACTAAGAAAAGAGTTACAAAATTATTAACGATAACCTAAGTGTCTAATATTTTGATGCATTACAAAAGATTTGACTAATTAATAGTATTTTAATAGGTTTAGATAATATAAAAAAAATCTGAAAAAGATTTAAAAAATACACATTACCTTTTCCTGTTGGTAATTGGTATTATCAATCATCATGCTTCCAAGTCGGCCTGGCCTGCCTGCCTCCGATTTTTCCAATGGAAAAGCTTTGGGTGCAACCCTTTTTCTAATTTGTCAATAAACTATAGAATGTTTTTAAAACAAAATGTTAATGTGAATATTTTGTGATGTGATACTTTTTAAAATGGGTTATAAACTTATAATACAGAAAAAAATGTGCAAACCGCAAAGTAATGTGAAACGAACATGGTTGTCACGTCGGTGGAATGTCGGTTGATTGAACTTGGTATGATCATTGATTGTGATATCGTACAGTAATTTCTACCAAAAAAAAGCTAGCGGTAGGGTATTTTGTAATAAAATCGTGGTTTAATCGTTTCTTACAACTAAAATCGTTTACTGATTAGGATCCCGTAATTTCGATCAGACAATCGATACGGTAGGGTTTCTAAAAATATTTGGTATAACCGGTTCCAATCATGAAACTGGCTAGATACCATAGGTATGACTGGAATGACCAATTTCCGACCTCTAAACAAATATCGTTGTCACCGCAGTGGAATGTCAGTTGGTTGAACCTGGTATACTTAATGATTGGGAAATCGTATTGAAAATTATACCCGAAAAAGTTCATTATAGGGTACTTTTACTAAAACTACGGTTGAGTCGTGGTTGAACGTTTCGTACAACTAAAATTGTCTACCGTTTAGGTTCCTGTAATTTATGTCATGTTGGCGTGTATGGTAGAGTTTCTCAAATATTGGGTATAATTGGTTCTGGTCATGAAACCGGCTAGAATACTACTAGTATGACTAACGTGATCAATTTTTGACCTAAAACTAAATGACTTCATTTTAGTGTATTTAATTAACAAAAAAAATAATTTGTGATTTATTTCATGATATTGTAAGTTAAATGTTGATGTTATTTTTTGGATTCAAGTATAAATATTTGGACGTGAACGTTAAATATTATATTTAAATATGAGTATTTTTTATTTTGTTTGGAACATTGTACGAATGTAAACTGTAATAGATTCTCTTCAAATGTGCTTTTATGACGTTAATGATTTTTTTCACATTTTTACATATTGTTTTAAACCAACTGTACCCAATCGGATTATTGTATAAACTGGAATGAGAACTGTGAAACAAAAGATCATCGCAATTATAAAACGGTATCGGCTATTACTATCTTCAAATGATTCCAAATGACCAACATAAAAAAATAATTATTCATTTAGAAATGAAATGAAAATAAAATAAAATGTTTTAACTTGGTAAAAGGCAAGGCCGGCAGGAGCCTGTTAGTATTTTTGTTATGATAATATATATTTCATGCATTACCAGAAGTTGTATGTTTTGAAAATTTGTATATACTTTGAATTGTTTTACGTGAGTTGTCATCTTTTCCTTCATTTTTGAGCCTTTTGTGGCGTGAGATCAGGAGAGAAAGAAGAACTTCATTGTCTAGGATTTGTGGGAACCAATTATCGTAATTGACAAAACCATTGGAGATCATTGTTGTCAATTTGCCTTATTGCCATCTTATTTAATCATTTGAGATGCCTTAATTTATTCACATTTAATAATAGTGAACCTGCCGTCTCTCTGTTTAACTTCGGCTTCTGCATAGTGACATCAAACAAGAAGGAAAGAAAACAGAAGCGTGCATATATGATTCATTTAGAAATGGCCAAATAGAGATGGAAAGTAGTACTAGAGTTCTTCCTTCTTTCATGAACGTTATTCATATTTGATAAATTGTGAGCTTAGTTCTGCCATGATTTGATTTGATTTATTTTGGGTTAATATACTACCAAAAATTACTAACTTTAGCAAAATTATCATTTGTGTTACGTAATTTCAATAACTACAGTAATATTTCAACCTATTGGTAGCCAAAGTAATTTGTGTTCTGAGTATTCTGTTTACAGTTAAACTTAACGATTTAACTTAACAGAAGTCAAGACATATTCACTTTTAATGACATGGCACTAGTTATCGTCCACATAAGCTAAATATTTTATTTGTGCAATTTTATTTAAAATTTCACAATTAATAAAACGATGGGCTCGTTTGCTTGATGGATTTGAAAATGAAGGTTTTGAGTTTTGAAAACCTTTGGATTTATGATGGATTTATTGCATTTTGTATTTGAAAGATAACATTGTTTGTTTAGTTGAATTTTTATCATGGATTTAGTTCATTTGATATTTGGGTCTCAAAAATTTGCCTTCCATAGTGTGGTATTTGCAAATATCAAATGAAATGTGGTATTTGCAAATACGTGGGGTCCACGGATTTGTATACCTCAACAAACAATTTTTTTTCATAAAATACATAATGCTTGGTATTTGGGTACCAAATACAACACTCAAATCCCACAAACAAACGACACCGACATCGGCCTAGTCTCCTCCGCCGCCTCACTGCCTTGCTCCAAGTCAAGGTCGACAACCTGCTCACTTGCCATCGCCGCCATCGAGCAACCGTGCTCCTTGTATTAGTGACAACATCTGTCTCATAGGCGCCCTGAACCTAGGGGTGTCCATTCGGGTTTACCCGAAACCGACCCAATTAGATACATTTTTTATTTTTCGGATTTGGGTTTGTTTCGTGTTTCGGGGTTTTTTTGGTTCGATTTTGCTTATTGATTTTTCGGGTTTTGACTGAAAACCTTCAAGAAATAGCACTCAACCCGTATTCTTAGGCGTTCGAGATTTTGGGTTTCGATTTTGCTTTAACCGAACTCGAACCCGATAAGAAATGTTTGGATTTTGGGTAACCGGAAACCGAAAGTCCTTATCGGGTTTGGCTTCTAGTAATTTATTAATTAAAAATATTATTCCCCTCACGTCCCTTCCCCGTCGGTTAGAAAAAAATCTCGCATCCCTTTCTGTCGGCTTCCTTGCCAGTGCCAGTTGTCTCTTCCTCGCTAGCGCCAATTCCCTTCCCGACATCCCTTTTTCCTTTCATTGGGGAATTTATCCTAGCGTCCTAGCGGAAGCCGAGGGGGGGGGGGGGGGGGGGGGGGGGGGGGTTGGCCAGGGGAGATTGATTTTTTTTTTCCAGAATACGAGAGAGAGAGAGAGAGAGAGAGAGAGAGAGAGAGAGAGAGAGAGAGAGAGAGAGAGAGAGAGACGTCGTCCATTTTTTCGGTGGTGAGAATTTTTCGATGCCGGCGTTGAAGATTTTCCGGCGACAGCGAAAGTTTTGTGATGTTTGTCAAACTATTTTGTAATGTTCGTATCGATTTTGTTTGTTTCTCTTATCATTCTAGTTTGTAATGTTTATATGACTAATTTGTATATATTATAATTTGTAATGTTTGTTTGTCTAGTTTGTATAATTTGTATTCATTGATTTGTAATAAAAGTTTACTGATTTGTATTGTAGATAGTTGCATTCTGTACTGTTAGTATGTCTTGTAATGTTTGTCGATTTGTTTTGCAATGTTTCTAAGTTTTGTTATTTTTGCAATGTTTGTTGGTATCTTTTGTAAGGTTTGTTATTTTTGTCCACCATGTTTGTAATGTTTTTTATGTCTAAAAAACAACCTGGTTGACTTTTGATCGCAACTGTTCTATATAGAGATGGAGCATTCAAAGTCAACCAGGTATTTTTTCCATTTTGTATGGTTTGCCGGTCTAGTTTGTCATTTTTGTCAACCATGTTTGTAATGTTTGTATGTCTATAAAACAACCAGGTTGACTTTGGGACGAAAACCCTCTATATAGGGATGAAGCCTCCAAAGTCAACCATGTTGATTTTTCATTTTTTATAGTTTTATTGTTTGTCGTTCTAGTTTGTATTGTTTGTATAGTTAATTTGTTTTGTATTGTTTGTAAATCTGTTCATATGTTTGTCGCTCTAGTTTGTAATGTTTGTACTCTTTGTAAGTCCGATTTGTATACTTCGTAATTTTTCATAATATTCAAAATACCCATGTCACTAATTGAAATTCCTTCCCACTATTTAACCGTTAGATTGGTGTGTCCAGATCTAAGCGCTAGAAGAGCCTTAGTCAAGTGACTAAGGGCCCCACTTAATTATGGATCCGGCCTCCCCTAATGGGCGGTGGCTATTTGACATAGTTGCCTCATTTCTTTCCACGCGGATTTTTTCATGAGAGTGGACTTGGTGGCTTGGATGGTATGTAAAAGAAACAAATTATAATTAACAACCACTAAAAAATGATTTATTACTTGAAAAAACAATTGTACCTTTTCTTTGTTTTACCATGTGTATGTGAGCAATAGATGGCATGATAAAATTATATTCATGGTTGGTAAATTATTCCCAGTAAAACTTATGTATAGTATATGACGTCGGTTGAATACTAGTCCATCAACTTAATTTTAGATTAAAAAATTATCAATTTATCATATCTAATATTTGTTTTTTATTATTTTGTTTCTACTTTTTTATTCTTATACTTTCTCCTCTACAATTTAATTAAGTTTTCATCACCTATTCAGGTCTAAATATCGCCTTCTGTGACATCATTATTTTGTCATAATAGGTCTAAATTTCGTCACAATAAATTTATTATGACAAAATTACTTGTCACAACTTTCGTCCAAACTACCTCGTTGAAACAACTTTATTATGACAAAATTTGACATCTTGTCACAATATATTTCAATGTCAAGATGTCCAACTTTTGTCAATATAAAACCCCTATTTTGACAAATATATTTGTCGTAATAAAGAGATATTTTGTCATAAATCATAATACATCCAAAATTTGTCACGATAAATGCAACTTTTGATATGATGTTGACAAATTGTACAGTTGTGACGAATGGTTTTGTAATAACATTATAACAGGTTGTCATAATATCTAATAAGGGGTTGTTGTGACGACCAATGCAGTCAAAAGCGCGATTCTATCTAGAAGCGAAAAAGGGATAAAATCGTAAAGCATAGAATCAAAACGTAAAAACGTAAGTTTTTTACGCATACTGTAAAATAACAAAAAATTGTGTTAAGTTCGACCAATATTATGTAAAATATGAGTGCACATAACTTAGATAAGTTAATAAATACATATAATGCATGTCTAAAGTTGAGAAACTCATAACATCTTAACAATAAGTTCATATAACAATAAGCTACCTTCCCCTTTATGCTAGTAAATTTGGGAAGAGCCTAGCTGGTGAATTAGATTACTCTATTGAAGCTAAGAATACACCCAAGTACCTGATATGTATCTTTTAATCTCCAATGTATAATATTTTTGTGATTTTATTTACCTTTAAAATATACTTTTTATAATTATTTTCAGGAATAGAATACTCATGTAGTGAACTAGAAGCGTAAAAGCGTAAAGCGTTTTGGTGAACCAGAAGCGTAAAAGCGCATTTTAGTCCTGATTTTATACACTAAAGATTTTATATGGAAACGAAAGCATTTTGGGGACCTAGAACCGTAAAACCGTAAGTTTTTAAGTTTTAAAGCGCGATTTTAATTGCATTGGTGACGACAATGTTTTTGTCGAAATATCTTATATGGGGTTGTGACCAATGTAGTCAAAAGCGCGTTTTTACGTAGAAGCGTTTTGGTGATCTAGAAGCGTAAAATCGTAAGTTTTTAAGCTTTAAAGCACGTTTTTAACTACATTAGCTATAAAAACTATGATTTTGCGTGGAAGCGTTTTGGTGACCTAGAAACGTAAAAACGTAAATTTTTAAGGTTTAAAGCGCGATTTTGACTATATTTATGACGAACATTTATTTGTCATAATACGTTTATCATGACAGACCATGTTGTCATAGTTACGAGATAGAATACTTTGTATAATTTGTGACGAAATCATTTTTGTCATGACATATTTAATATGACAAATCCCATTTTGTCAGCAACCTGTTTTTCATCAATATTCTGCGACTTCGTGACAAGTTATTTTGTTATAATATCCAAGTCTAAATCAGTCAGTATCTGGATAATCTGACATCCTGATCTTGTCAACATATCTGAAAGTTCACAAATATTGCAGCCAACACAAAATATTCAACAATCTTGTTCATAATTCGTAAGTAAATAACAATCGTGTAGATTAATATAACATTCTCGGTTTCACAGTGCCTCCATCAGTTCCATATGAAAAGTAAAGTTCTACAAACTACCAAACTTTCTAACAAACCATCCCCGCATGCCTCCACCGTCCATGCCCATCCAAAATAAGGTGACGATAGTTCTATGAAGAATTTCTCACTGACAGAAAACTACATGTACCGATGAGAGAACCAACGTTAATTGCTTATTCCTTTTATACTTATGAAAACTAATGATGTCTATACCACCACACTTAACGGGTGGGGCACTAACTATGTAATGGAGTAAAACAAACATTCTTCACATTATTTGTAGAATTTTGTAAAAGCATGACAAGAACAAATGTGGTTCTTGAGAAGTTATTACCTTTAAACTAAGGTGATCTTTCATTAAGTTTTTGAGCTAGGGACTCCACATAGTCCTTCAGATTGTCCTGTGACTCTTGTAGCTTGTGGATAATCTCCTTCTGAGTTTGAATCTTCTGTTGTTGGTCTTCTATTTGCTGCTGTTGGGATTGTATCCATTAATCAAACTCTTGCCTCTGCCTCTCCCCTTCAGCCAATGAGTTCTCCAAACGCGTTTCTAGGTCTTTTTCTCTTTGGGAACTTGGTTTCTGTTTGCTAATGTAACTTGGTGCTTTCTGAAGCACCATCTGGACTATCTCAGCACTAGATAATGGGCTCCCCTTCTCTACAGCTTCAGCATGAATCCTCTTCATTTCCTCTTATAAACACAGTACAACCTCAATTTATTTATCAATACAATACTTTGAACTTTATAGGCTAAACACTAAGACATAACACTCTTACATAGTTTTGTTGCGGTTTCTCATTAACTCAACTGCCATCACTTTTCCTATGTGTGTCAGCATACACTGTTATCTCCTTTGGCTCTTCTTCCTCCACTGCAGCAAATTGTTGTTCACTACTATTCTCCTTGTCATATGGTTTGTGGCTTGCTTGGCTTTTTCCTATAAAAATAAAAATAACAGTCATGAGCAGTGAAAAGACAAAAAAAAAATTAACAATTGGAATGGGGTTACTATATGACTGTACAAGAATTGACAATTTCATACATCCGTTGTCATTATCTAGAGTAGAATTCTCAATCTCAAAATCTTGAGAAGACTGGTCTGTACCACTAATATTATCAAGATTAAAGGGTTCCCCATGATGTATCCATGTAGTATAATCATCTACCATTTTATTCAAGAATATGTAAGTTTTTGCAAGTTGTAGTTTCAAAGCAACAATTATTGCACTTTTTGCATGTACATCTGATTCTACCATTCCCATCAGCAGAATTAGTTGTTAAATGTACAAATTCTTTGACCACATTCACATATTCCATGCAAATCTATCATTTAACTTCAACCAATTTCTACTCATTGGCCCAATGCACTTAAAGTAGATTGACCTTTTGTTCTTGATTTTCCTTTGGTATGAAAGAATTCTCAGCCAGTAAGTGATATTCACGATGCGGCTAGTAGCATTCAGAGGAGCTTGATGCACCCGAGATGCCCCCTCCCCAGTACTCTAGCACCGTCGTCGGCACCCCAAACCAGCACCATCATCATCATCGCCCGTAGTCGGTCCTTCCTCATCCGCAATCCACCTCCAGGATCGAGTCATTCACCTCGAGGAGCAATACACAGGGGTTTCCACTCAGTTGGCCTGTTCCCAAAGCGTGCTGGAGCGGATGGTTCGACGTCAGGGTATTGAGACCGAGGAAGACAGACACCCATTTACAACCCGTGAGAGGTAGACGACCGAGTGAGACATATGACCGAGCCGATTTCTTTCATCCCACTTTTCCACTTGAACGCTGAACTTTGTTAATTTTTCTTTTTGTTTGTGTGAAGAAGTACTATTTTGATCTTTCTTCTTTTAACTTTGATGTTGAATATTGCTATGTGTAATAAACTCGCCTTGTGCGAGTATGTTTTTGTGTTTTTTTGTGTTTGCTTCTTCTCTATGAAGCTCCCATCTCCTACACCGGTCTATGTTCAACTTTCACTTGCCAATGCTCAGTAACTTCTTCACCCTACTCTTATTTTCCATTGCGGACAATGTCGTGCTTAAGTGTGTGTTGAGGGGGCGCGGGGGGGGGGGGGGATTCAATTGTGATTGGCATGTGAATGTGTGTGAATGCTTGATCGAAGTGGTCGGTTGTTGGAGAATCTTGTGTTTATTGGCATTGACTTTGGATTGTTTACTTGCGATTGAGTGCATCCAAATTATGATGATTGAGAATTGCATTATGTTGGTGCAAGTGTTTAGTTCTCATATGTGTGCAAATGGATGGATGCCTTGGCTTGAGCACTCATTGATTGCAATTGTCATGCATCATAATTTTTGAAATTGGAATGGATGATTGAGTAGCTAGGTAGCCATGTGAGATTTGTGTCGATAGTTTTTTTTATCATGTGTGATAGATCCATCTTACCATGATGTGTAGCATTCACGTTGTCATTTGCGAGAAGATGGAGGCATAGGATTAGTCCTCTCCCAAAAAAGTTGGTCCCGATCTTTATATCCCCCAGTCAAACCTTTTGAGCCCCGTGAAATAGGGTCGTTCTCATTTTAGGAGATTTTGCTACTTGAGCTTAATTTAGATTGATAGAGAGACCCTTTGCTTTCTGCGTGTCTAAACTGTTGTGAGTCATTCTTGTGCCTCGGAGCTCCCATTACTTGAGTTCCATTGAGGTTCCACATAGGTGATTTTTGCACGGTTCATGCTAAGAATGAAAATGTAGTGTTGAAGGAAGTTCTTAATGGTGAGCATTGTTCGTAAGTTTAAAAAGTGGCACGTGTTTAGCTCTCTAGTACCCCCCTGAAAATGGTAGAAAGAAAATGAAGAAAAAGAAGTGAAAAAAGAGAAAATAAAAGGGGGTAAATAAAAGATAGAGAGTTGCCACCAAGTTGATGTGTATGCTCTAGAAAGGTGTTTCTTGACACTCAAACTTTCACACGCCTACTAGTTTGTTGACCTCCTTCACTACTATGCTTGAAAATTGGATAGCAGGTATAACCGAGAAAGTGTGCTTGAATGTCGTTCAGGATTGGTTGTAGTTTGGAATTGAGGAAGTGTGATTTTTGGCTAATGCTAGTGGCCATTGTTTGTAGGAAAAGGTTCTAGTAGAAACAATAGAACCTTGTGTTGCTTTTATGATGAAGATGTGGAACCTCATGCTAGTCCCCATGTCTAAGACCTCCGAACAAGCTAGTGACGACAATCATCTTGTGAGCTTTAACATTTAGAGGTTAGTGTCACATTGAAGAGAACATAGGCTGAGTGTTTATTACACACATCTCTTGCATCAAATGGTCCTGACCCCATTGGTTGAGAGTGAGTGATTCTTTCACATTTTCATGTTCATATTATGAATCCCGGTGAGGACCTAGCTCGCTCATTCATTTATTCCTAGGGTTTGATCTCTATGCATGGATAATTGCAGTTTGTGAGTAGTCTTGTCCAGTCATGTGTTGGTTTGAAACCAGAGTGAGAACTTTTTGTTTGCACATTAATTCTTAATGCATTCGAATGTCAATTGTGGTGGTTGTCGGTATTGCTTGTAAATTGTCTATGTGTTGGTGCCCAATAACCATTGAGATTCATCCGCTTTGATCCCTTTGATATGTCCCCAAGACATTGTTTGTAGATTGAGATATTACCTTGTTTGAGATTGGTTTGCTTGGGACATGTTACACCCCGACATTTGAGTACAGTTTTGGCCAAACGGTTGGATCGACGTGTGAAGGAATAATATTATTTTTTATTTTTTTTTAAAAAAGGAAAAAGGAATTAATCTCCCTTCCCACCCATCCACCCACCTCTCTCTAATTCTGAATGGCTAAATCTCGCCCTAGTTTATTTTATCGCCCTAAATTGAACTTGTAAAATTACTTAAATAACCTTCAAGGACTAGATACAAAATTAACAAAACAAACAACCTCTAATCTTCATTTCGGAAGAAAAAAAATCCCTAATCTTCTTTCGTCAGGTCCCAACTCCCAACCCTCTCCTATTGTCCTACATTGTGCGTTGCGACTACTCGGCCATTTCTCCAGTTCCGACGAAGCAGAGACGGAACAAAGCAGATCCAGTTCTCTCCTCTGCATGAGTGTTGCATTGCCGTCAATCCAAGATTGTCAACCTGCAGGTTGACCCGGACCCGGTCGAGCTAGTGGGTCAAGGGTTAACGAGTCACCCGTTTTAGCCCGGAAATATGGAAAGAGTCATTATATTGTACTTATCCTGATAGATTATATCAAATCTCATCTAACATATG